AGAACAAGAGAAGTACTTTATGAGTACTGCACAAAAGAATCCAAGCTTTAGTATCTGTTCTGAGGTATATTTCAGGTACAGGTTCAGGAACCCACAGCCTCAGCATCAACCAGATGTTGTTGTACTGACAACTGCCATCAGTCCCAGCAAGCACGTCCAGTGGTCAGGGATTATGGGACTTGGACTCCAACAATCTCTTGAGGGTCACAGGTACATCATCCTTGATCTACAAGGATCATGACACATCTGGTTCTACAGGCATTGAACAGCATGAGGCTCAAAGCAGATCCACTGACAAGATGGAAACCAAAGAAAAGGAGACAATGGGCTTGAGTAGAGTGTTGGTCAAGAAAATACTTGGCTTTGACCTAGAAGCTTATACTCCTACATTGTCTCCGGTGACCAACCTGGAAGCAACAAACAAACAAAAACAAGCACCACTAATGGTGACTACAAATGTACTGGTTCAACTAGAGTTTTTTGTTTTTGCTTTATTATGAATTTCTAGCACTATATCCTAATACAAGCATAACCACAGAGAAGGAAGACAATGTACTAGTGCCCTCAACAATGTTTCATGAACCACAATTCATTGCTGCCCAATGATAAGAAAGCTTCCAAGTCCTATAAGCAGCCAATCAACCACAACCTGAAATGAGACTCCAAAAATTATTCCATCAATCCCACAAATAGTAAAGGCAGAAGAACTGAGAATGAATGAATAATGTAGGAGATGCAGGTCATGGAGATGGAATATTCCAGGAGCACCAATCTATCTTGATATGCCTATTCATTGCAGTGGTCCTCAAAGAATGCTTGCTTAAAAGGATTCAGTCTTTACCTGACTACCTGTCTCTAAGCATCTTCAACCTGAAATATCTGTCCTCTGGAATGATGGCTCCCTTTGCTTCAAGACTCCCCAGTGCTAATATCTTTTTGCTGACCAGTGCTGTTTCTTTCAAAAAATGTGAAACATTTTGAGTAGTTTGGGATGCACCTGTGTTATATAGATAACAAGTTACATTTTATTTTGAAAAAGTACTTTTAGGCGGGGGTTTAGCAGATCCTGCTTCATACCAAACAGAAGGTGATGTTTACAATCCTATACACACTTAGTAGGCAGCATGCTGCACTTAGTATCAGAGGTTTTACATTTCAATAGACATGTACAGAATCCAACTGTTTGTGCTTAAGAATAAGCTCTACTGGGCATGATTCTGAGTAAATATGCATAGGGTTTGTATGTAAGACAGTGATGGCCAAACTTGGCCCTCCAGCTGTTTTGGGACTGCAATTCCAATCATCCCTGATTACTGGTCCTGTTAGCTAGGGATGATGGGAGTTGTAGTCCCAAAACAGCTGGAGGGCCAAGTTTGGCCATCACTGATGCAAGAGGTGCAAATACAGGTTGTTTCTTTCCAGAATACTGTAATATAGGGAGTTCAATCCCAAATAGTGTTTCTTCCCAACCTATAACTTTGATACGCATTGACTCAGAAGGCTGTGGATTAGAACAGAGTCCTCACAAATTTTAGCAATTAAAATAACCATGCAGAAGTTTCTGTGCTGAGGTTAGAGCTCTTCCTTGAAGATATTCATGATGTTACTATTACATTGGATCCTTCTTTTGCAATTTTTTTTTTAAAAAAAAACTTCTGAGAAAGAACTGAAATGTCCTGGGGGTGAGGAAATCTGCTCAATTCTGGTATCAAGAAATATTTTTCAAAAGATACATCTTCATATGACTTTAAAGGTTTGCCTTTAAAAAAAAATGAAATAGATATTCCCAACACAAGTTTCATGCTTTCAATTTCAGTGCTAAGAACCATTCTTCATAAAGACAAATTTACTCAGCACAGCTGTAAAACTTTGCCTTTGAAAGAGAATGTTGAATTTCTCATGAACAAAGTCACAACTGGGCTTTCTATTTTAAGCTGTTTCTTCAATTAAGCAATGGGGAAGAACCCAATATGAAAAGTTACACGACCTTTGTTACCTTAATCTGGTGGATTTTATTAAACTTGGAGTGTCTGAGACACATACATAACAGCAGAACATGGAGGCTGCAACACTTATCTGAAAGGAGGTAAAAGCTCAAAGGCACAGTATTTCTTTCAGTGTGTTGAATAGTTGTTTCCATTAAAATGAATGGGGTAGCCTTGGGAGCAGGAGTTGTGTGTGCACCTCAAAGGGAATCCAAGTTGTTTTCTCAGGAAACACATTCAATTTTAATTTTTAAAAGCCTTGAATCTATTACTGGGTTTATGACTGCACTATGTAAAATGTTACTATATATATATATATATATATATATATATATATATATGAATGAGATGAAGCCATGTATATGTTGCACACATACCCTTATCTATTTTGCTTAACGATTTCACAGAATAGGGGAGAAATCAGGCTCAAGAATCTGTTTTGTAAAAATGCCATCAAGCTGAGTATTGAATAATCTACAGAAATTTGTCTATCTCTTTGTTTATCTTGTTTTTAGAAAGAGTTCCTTATGCCAACAGAGAAGCAAAAAAACAAAGCTTGCGTCTTTGCATAAACAAAGTGTGTGCTTTGAATTGCTTAAAAGACCATCACTTTTTATTAAAGAGGTGAAAAACACACGTCGAAACATCTCATCGCCCTACATTTTTCACAACTTGTTGTCTGATCTTCTGAAGAAATCAGCATTAATCACTAGGTGCAGGAATCAAGAACTGAGTAAACAACTTTTGTTTTGTCTTATGAGTTCACCACAGATACAGATTTCAGGAACAAGTTGGAAACCATTTTAATATCAAACAAAATAAAAGCAGAATTCTAAGCATTATAGCAATTAACATGTATATAAGAAATGGTTTGTTAGAACTTCTTTTCCTCTTCAAGAGTTTGTGGGAAGTGAGTTTCAAAATCACACTCATTAATGCAGATAAAATATAATTTATAACATAGTAATCATCTTTCCAGACAGGTTGGGAACATAGTCTGGGAGGCATAAGGCAGGCATTTAATTGCAGATGCAGATGGACTGTTGTTTAGGCAAAGAACTGAGCATCAACACTGGTGAACTACTGGGAGAAACAGGGGTGTGCCTGACAAGACAGGTCTGTTGAACCATCTCTCATAAATTGGGTAGCTAAAAGCAAATAAAAAAAAATTAAGAAACCATGGAGAATGTGAATAACTGAATTAAAATATCAGTCGTGTTTGTAGCAAACCAGTACCACCATCTTAACCACCTGTTTAGAGAGATACACTATTTTATCCAAAGTTTATTTGATTTGATTCAGGTGCATAGATTCTGGAGATTTTTATTAGATACATTCCAGTGTTTCAAAGATACTGAGGCATGGTATGAAATGGCATTCAACATCATAAACTTATTCTCATATGAAACAAGGAAAACATATCATTTTATTGTATAAAGTTCAACACCTGTAAGTTCAATCAAAGACAATGCTGAAAACTGTTATACCTTCAGAAATAAGTTTGAATTCATGCCATGCCATCATCAAAAGGATGTGGTTAAGACACAACATTCAATATAGCTTACAAAAAACATTGTTGTCACATATATGGTATCCTTAAATAAAATGATCAATACTTAGTGTCCAATGGACCACAAAGCTGTCCCAGGGGAGCGCAAGGAAAATTCAAGCACACAGATTCAAAAAATATAGTCAAACATATTGAATTGACCACAAAGAGATACCCACATAATATCCTTTTAAGCATTCTAACTTCAGGTTTGTTTTTGTTTTTTTAACAGAGTCAGCATATTGATTATAAATGGCTGCAACTTTGTAGGAATCCCTTTTACCTATGAAAAGAACTCCCCTCTTGAGATTGTTTTGCCCCACAACCCTTTGGGAAAGTAGAAAACACATTAATAAAGGATGGGTGTACAGAGAAGGGCAAGGCATTCCCATGGCCAACATAACTTTTCTAATGCTTCTGAGCATGTAGTTGTGTGTAGCTTACTAGGTAAAGCAGAAATGCATAGAAACTAGCTTTTGCGCCATAACTAGCCATGTACAACAACACACAATCAACACAAGATAGGAATGAAAGTCCTGCTAAGCAATGCTGGTAGCCATGGAACTTCTAATGCAGTAGGAATGACCTCAGTAACAAACCCTTTTGACTACAAAACCATTTAAAGGCTATGCCTTCAGCAATGTCTTCAGGTAGTCGAATTCGACACCAAGAAATCACATTCACAAGTAACTCCCCTTCATCTGTTATAAATATGAAGGACATCAGTGGCAGGACTGTGCAGCAGCACTAAGCCTGCTCCCTCACATCTTCCATCTTTTCAGCATGAATGTCTGAAGAGGATCCCTCTGCACATGAGCAGCTGCTTATGTGTAAGGGCTCTGCTCTTCAGACACTTGTGCCTGATGTGCAGAAATGAGTGGTGGATCTAGCTCAATGGATGATGCTGGAAGGAGGGTGGTAGCACAGTTGGTATAATGAACTTAAGATGCAGCCCTAAAAATGGCACCAAAGCAACTTCAGATCAAGCCTGGGAAAAGATGAAGATGGAAAAACCAACGTGAAAGACTGGATACAATTTTTAAGGGCTTTCTGACACCTAGAAGCCACCTTGAAATAGTTCAAATGCAACAATTCAGTGCAGCACTGATTGACCACAAACCTATTCCTTTCAGACCATTCCCAACCCCAAATCAATTTCATTAATTTGCCAAAGTAGCAGAGTGCTAACTATGAAGTTGTTTTAGAAACTGAGTCAAAAACATTAATGTAGAAGCTATACATAACCATAGAAAGGGGAAGAATGGTTGCTAGTGCCTATATAACCTACAGAGCTCGATATAGTCTGTGTATAGATATAGCATATGTTTCTAGATGCTGTCATATGGCCTGATCTCTGCACAGAACATTATATGACCAATTCATACATTTCCAAATCCAAACAGCGCTTTACAAATGTCTCTACAAATGCACTGCCCTAATTAATGGAAAAGAGAATGTCTTCTTACCTGAGCCCCTTTTGGTCACAACCTTCAAACTCTGAACAAGAGTAGCATACAAGAGAATTAAGTGAGGAATAGGAGCTTTCATCTTCCAGCTCTCCAAGGCTGTTCCCTGAAGCAGAAGGAAAAAATACATTTTGTTATGTTTGCTTGGTTTTCGCTGAAATATAATTTTTGACATTAAACAAAGGAGACTTCAATAGACTGTATCAGTTCATCTCATGTGGTAATTTTCTACCTACTATTAAGGAAAGTTCCAGAAATCAGAATGAAATTTATTATTATGCAGAAATCAGAAATACAAAATTCCTATTTCAGTGATAACTGCTTTTGTTAATAGGAAGAAAAATTGCAGCCACATTTCAATATACAGTCACATGTGCTTTAGCACATTGAAATCAATGGGCTTTAGTGCCTTTAGCTCTGTGCTGGATTACGGCTTACAACTTTATACTTAGAATGAATATTTTATTGAGCAATCTTCTGCAATGTGGAAATTAAACTCTATTCCAAAATCAGTCTGCAAATCTGATTCCTTAAGCCTTCAATACATCATCCATCTGTAGCCTCCTAGAGGCAAAATATTGGTTTATTTTTTAGATAGTTCCCTATATTGGAAGAAAAATGTGCTCCTATGCAATTAGCTATTAGAATTATAGTGCTGTTGAGAGCCTGAAGGCTAATACTGCCCTCCTGAAGCCAAGGCTGCTCTCTTGCACTGAGACTGGAACACACTTAGACAATGTATGGAGCATTCATGAACTGCAGAAATTAACACCTGCAAACAAATAAGGGGGAGTGGGATCACACCTGTGGGCTTCACTTGATAACTAGGTATTCAAGGTCCCAAGCCTATGTGTATAGGCTCCCTACTTGCAATCAGAGATTGTATAGGTCCCTGTACAAGGTGAGACCTTGAACACTTAGAAGTGGGGTGTGGGCCGCTGGGCATGATGCCAGTTTCTACACCTGCATACAACAAATTAATTCATACAACAAATCTTACATTATTCAGATTGAAGTGTAACAAACACAGTGAGAAAGAATTGGAGAGTCATGCTACAGAGAAAGATGAAAAGTCCACATACACTATTATGCCTATTTGGAAAGAAAAAGATAACAAACAGAGGGACGGGGGAGAACTGTCAGTTTTTCTAATGCAGCTTTCATTATTATTTTTTAAAGAACTAAGAACATCAAACTTCCAAAAAGCATTATTATAACCTTAAAGAAGATGAGAAAGCTGGAAAATGTGGCTTGACAGTCACTTTTTCTACCAGTTTAGAAAAATAATACTTATATCTTTCATGTCTACAAGATTAGCAGTTTAGGCATTGCACTCGAGAACCTCGAAGTATGTAAAAGTAACACATTCCAATTAATCAAGCAGCGGCTCTATGACCACGAAAGACAGCACTTGTTACCTCATACTCCGAGATCTTGTTAGGTATCACAACATCCTACGGAACCTGTGCCAACTATCTAAAAGATCAACTCCTCCCTTCCCATCAAAGAGCCTTTATACTTGCAAGACTAAATGCTTCCCCTTCCTCCGTGACCAAAGGCAGATGCTCACACATTCCATTTCAAGCCCGTTTGGGTGCCTGATTCAATGGACCACATTCTCTTAGATTGTCCTTTACACAGCAGACCTCGCCAACTGATGCTGAGCAAAATGTTGGACATCTGGCCCACAATTCCGAGAAGAAGCCAAATAAGGTTTCTCCTGGCAGATCGGGAGAAAGGTATTACTGCTTTAGTAGCTTCCTTTTTAGCCGCAATTTTACCCGAAAGGGTTCTCAACGAACTATCCTTTTGGGATATAGACAGGGCATAGCAAAATATCCAAATGCACACGACCGTAGTGTGACCTTATAACCCTTGATAGCTTCACCCTTGTCTTTTTAATTATTCCAGTTTCTTGAAGTGTTTTATATTGTGATGCCAATAAAGGTATTTGACTGATTGATTGATTGATTTGATTGATACAAGATTAGAGGCAATCCCACTAGACCCCCCTGTAGGGGGCAAAAGGAAACAGAATCCTTGGGGTAATAAAATTCTACTCCCCCCTTTTAAACCAAAAATGTCAGTGTTACACACCTAGATGCTGGGGGGGGGGGAATGCAAGGTGATTATAGAAAGAAAAAAATCTGTTCCATGTCAATATTCAGCCCCAGATATTGGGATTACAGGGCCTTCTCGTAGTGGCACCCACCCTGTGGAACGCCCTCCCACCAGATGTCAAAGAGAACAACAACTACCAGACTTTTAGAAGGCAGCCCTGTTTAGGGAAGCTTTTAATGTTTGATGCATTACTGTATTTAAATATTTTGTTGGAAGCTGCCCAGAGTGGCTGGGGAAGCCCAGGCAGATGGGTGGGGTATAAATAATTATTATTATTATTATTATTATTATTAAGCATTTGTATACAATTTTAAGAGTATAAATAAAAGCTACTTATGCAGAGGTGAAGCAGAAGAGATGCAACTTAAGCTATGTCACACTATATTGCTGTGTGATACTGCAGGCCTGAATTGTACGCTTCTGTAACCAAAATTCCATTTTTCAGTCAGTGCACTAAGTGATGCTGCAGGAAATCCTGATGCTGATATCTTCAGTCTTCATGATACTAGAGAGAGTCAGCTTCTTGCTCAGCATGAGCCTAACAAATACCGTCCAAAAGAATGAGTGACTTTTACATAGCACTTTAAGATCAACAGATATAGTGCGATTGCAAAACAGAGCTGAGCAGGCTCATTACAGTCGGCCTGCTGAAGAGAACATCTCTTATTGAAAAAGGAAGTACGGTATAAAACTATAAAGCCTTGCCATAATAAAAACTGAAGACAAAGCCTGGTGTCAGAGAAGGCAACAAAGAGCACACAAGAAAGGCCTTTGGCAGATAAAATTCCTATTCATCATCTCTGTAGCCACTAACATTTATGAGGGCCACTTACGCATGTGAGAAGAAAAAAAGAACTTCACGAAACTGGGAGGAGGGAACCAATTTGTATAAACTCTGCAAGTGTTGATGTTTATGCATAGATGCAAATTTAGAGCTGATTTCTATTCTTTAAATATAAATTCATACATTTACATAGTAAGGGAGACTGTGAATAGGTGTTCTGTGTCCCTGTTCCATCTCCTAGTCCAGGAACAGCTGGCAGGCATTTTCAAGGCCTCTGCTCTCCCTTCTTTGTCTTTAAACTTGGACAGAAACAGCCCTTTTATACCTTCCAACTTTTCCCAGTGCAAAACCAGGACACACATATTCTGGGATGTGCTTTCAGATGAATCACATGACCCATGCCTGGCTCTTGTCCCCCAAAAGCACGTTTTTTTTTGGGGGGGAGAGCATTTGAGAGTGTGGCACCCAAAATGGCTGTCAAGATCTTGTAGAAAAAACAGGATGTCACTTTTTTATGGGGAACCCGGAAGGTATGCCCTTCTAAAGGAGGATTCCTTCAAATGGAAAACTGCCTGTAAAGTGGTACACGTGGCCACCCTACGAACACTTTGAATATTAAAAAGTAGTACAGTATCACGAGCACTTTACAGATCATAATAGGGTGAGATGGGAAGCAGGAGCAGAGGAGACTCCTACTTCACACCTTGACCCTCAAACTCTACAAAAGATGAGGATGACATACCAAAGGGAGGAGGGCTTGGCTGTCTACCCCTGCCCTACTTTCTTGTGACTGTTTACACACAAGGTAATGAACAGCCAGACCAGACTTCTGCTTCATGTTGGATACCTTTCAATAGGACAGTTCCTTTGAAAAGGAATACGTAAGGCACACTGAAGATAATGATAAACTGTCTAATGCAATAACTTAATTCGGACATGCAGTTGTTGACAGTAAAACACTGCCATATAAACTGCCTAAAAGTTGCAACAGTTAGTCCATGAATTCCCAAACGGTTGTGTGTGGATCCCTAGTTGTCTCCAAGCTTCATTCAGTTGGTGTATGGATTTGTGGCTGAAGATGGGAGATGGCACATCCATTGCATTACACACACACACACACACACACACACACACACACACACAGAGTGGTACTTCAGGTTACATACACTTCAGGTTAAAGACTCCGCTAACACAGAAATATTACCTTGGATTAAGAACTTTGCTTCAGGATGAGAACAGAAATCGTGCTCCAGCAGAGCAGCAGCAGGAGGAGGCCCCCATTAGCTAAAGTGGTGCTTCAGGTTAAGAACTATTTCAGGTTAAGAACGGACTTCTGGAATGAATTAAGTACTTAACCCGAGGTACCACTTATTACAGTTTGAATTATATAGAATTGCAATTTTTACAACAGGCAGATAATTCATTAAGTGGTCTGCCATGGCTCGCAGCAATTTTTAAATACAGTGGTACCTCAGGCACGATTTCTGTTCTCATCCTGAAGCAAAGTTCTTAACCTGAGGTAATATTTCTGGGTTAGCGGAGTCTGTAACCTGAAGCATATGTAACCTGAGGTACCACTGTAGTCTGGGGGCAGGGGTGGAGGCTTGGAAACCAATGGGTTAGTCAATTTTGCTGGACATGGGAACTAAGTCACTAAGTCACATCATTCTAGTTTAGAAAGATTTTTTTAAAAATCCCTTTGAAATTTAGTCAGACTGAACTTAGACTGAAACATAGTAACACAGCAACCAAACTGCAGTTCATACTTAGCTCTGAAAGTCAGCGCTGAGGCTTAGTATGGTCTTTCCTGAGGGGGGAATAATGCTGCTTTCACAGTGGCCTGTGGGAAAGAAATGAAGCCATTTCCCCCCCCCCTGCATATTTCCATGAGAGAAGCATCACTAGTTTCTGCTATTCCCATGACTCAGCTTGTAAAAAATCATTCTCCCTGTTCTCTTAGGGTTTCTAGGTCAAGAGCCTCTGCACCTCTAGTTACTGAAGAGAATATAAAATTCAACCATGTGTAGATTTTCCCGTCATAGGGCTGTCAGGCCAGGGAGGCAAGGCTCTTTCATAAAACTCTTAAAGGTGCAGGAACCTTTTGAATGATGGTTCTGTCTTGTCTTTGTCTCTCTGCTTCCTAACCACCAACACTGCATCTTGGGCTTTCATGTTGCTCTCCTCCCTCAGTCACTCACTTT